GCTAGCACTTACATCTTCAAAAAATTAGCCCATTTCTATCAATATGTACTGTCACAAGGTTGTGGCTTACCAGTAATGTTCTGGCATCTTTATCATTTGGTGGCTACATGCCATCTCCTTGACTCTGCCCCCACCTCTCTGTTTGGATTTCCTACCACCTGGATTTACTCTGCTAAGCCAATGGCCACAATAGCATTATTCATCAACCAATGAAAGCAACACATACGCAGAAGGACCTCCCACATTAAGCATTAGTGTTAGTTAAAGGTCAGTTTTGTTATTGTTTTGCTTTGAGACAGTCGTGTATAACTGTGGCCTCAAAGTTGCTTGCTATGTGGATGAGTTGTGTATAAGGTGGCCTCAAAGTTGCTTGCTATGTGGATGAGGATAACCTTGAACTTCTGATGCTCCTGACTGTATGAGTGCTAGGATTACAGTTACAAATGTATGCACCACAACTGCCTTTATATGGTGATGTCAATAAAACCCATGGGGCTTGTACATGGTGGGTAAGCAGTTCACTGTCCAGTTACATCCTCAGCTCCAGGATATATTTTCTCAAGTCTCTTTTTGCACCAGACTATCTTAGGTTGGGATGTCCAGGAAACAAATAGACATGAAGATTTCTGTGCAGCTGATTATTAATGCATGTTCTCCAACTTGCCACCTGTAGAACTCTGCAGAAGGCATTGGTGGAATCCCAACAAAACCAGAGTACCTGTGGAGTGGGTGGGTGTCACCCATTGGCTGTTCTCATCCCTGCATTGTGCAGTCATCAGATGCAGGCCTGCAGGCTGTCATCTGGGATGCATCCTTGGGGAGGTGGCTCTGTCTCCAGGAAGGCAATTCCCAGAGAGAAAGTACATGAGAGCTGTCACCCTCCGTCCTTCTCAGCTGCCACCCCAACCTTCCCTGAAGCTGAGGGGTGATCCGGGTGAAACACCAGCATTTACCTCAGAGATTACAATGATTGCAACAGAGGATTAACCAAAAAAGGAACCAAAAGGAATTACTAGAGAAACTCCTACAGTTATGGGGCAATAGGAAGAACTGTCTAAGAAGTAGGCACCAAAAGCCAGGCATGGTGACATCCTCCTGTAGCCGCAGTCCTTGAGAGACAGAGGCAAGATTCTCCTCAGCTTGGTTTATATGAGACACTATCTCAAAACAAAACAAAACAAAAAAAGTAGCCACCAGAAAGAAGAGGGAGAGTAGGGAGCCATGGCAATTGTCTGCGTGGAGGTTTTAATCCAATGGTGTAATTTAAAAAAGAACTCCAGAGAGGCCCAGCCTGGTGGCTCACACCTGGAACGCCAGCTCTCAGGAGCCTGCTGCAGAAGAGTTACCAGGTTGACAACAGCCTTGGCTACAAGTAAGGTCACAGTTAGCCTGAGCTACAGGACAATACCCATCTCAGAAGGAAGAAAACAAACAGAGGAGGATAAGACACTGGATGAACTTCAGGGCAGAAAGACCAAAGGGTCTAATTTCCATGGAGTCAACTGAGAACAGAGTCCACAGCAGCACCCAAGTTTTCGGGTTTGCTAGCATTCCTAAGTCTGCTTTTCTCCCTTGAATTCTGCGGAAGTGATTTCTTTTCCATTTCTTCTTGGGGAAGCTAATTTATAGAGGCAGTGGGGGTGTTTGAAGAAATTGGTTCTTAATTTCTTTTTCCTTTCTTTCTTTCTTTCTTTCTTTCTTTCTTTCTTTCTTTCTCTTATTTTTGAGACAGGGTTTTTTGGTGTAGCCCTGGCTCTGTCCTGGAACTCGCTCTGTAGACCAGGCTGACCTTACACTCAGAGCTCTGCCTGCCTCTGCCTTCTGAGTGCTGGGATCAAAGGCATGTGCCACACCACTCCTTGGTTGTTTGGGATTTTGGAAAGTTCTAATGTACCCTGCCCTTGTGTCCTCGAATCCCTGACCCTCCGGCCTCCACTGGCACGTGTGTGTTGGGGGTCAGGGGCTTGAGCTGGGGATTCAGTCCAAGGTCTCACATACACAAGCTAAACAAATGCTCTATCTCTGAGCTGCGCACCCAACCTCACATTTTTTTTAAAAAAACAAAATTTATTATGTCATGGAAAGAAAGTTTAATTGAAAAACACTCACCAGATGCAAGGAATTGAGCCATCACTGAAGTGTGGCAAATTGGAACTGTCAATTCAGTCTAGAGCATCTAGACTGTGATTATTTTAGAAGAAAAATTGAGAAAAAACTGGTGAGGGGAGGCAGGAATCATTTCTTTTTCTTTTTTTTTTTTTTTTTTTTTTTTTTTTTTTTGGTTTTTCGAGACAGGGTTTCTCTGTGGTTTTGGAGCCTGTCCTGGAACTAGCTCTTGTAGACCAGGCTGGTCTCGAACTCACAGAGATCCGCCTGCCTCTGCCTCCCAAGTGCTGGGATTAAAGGCGTGCGCCACCACCGCCCGGCTTCTTTTTCTTTTTTTATGGGATGCCACTGAGTTTGTTTTTAAATAATTTACTTATTTTTATTTTATGTACACTAGTGTTTTGCCTGCATGTATGTACATGTGAGGGTGTCAGGTCCCCTGGAACTGGAGTTACAGACAGTTGTGAATGACCATGTGGGTGCTGGGAATTGAACCCGGGTCCTCTGGAAGAACAGTCAGTGTTCTTAACCAGAGTCATCTCTCCAGCCCCACAATAATGGTTTATAAACAGCTGTAGAGTTTGTCATGAAAGGTCTCTTGCCTGCTTTGAGGCACATCAGCCCAACATATTAAGAAGATACTGAAAATGATGGCTTAAAATGCCGAGATAACTTTGTGGGCAAACACTGTTCTATGAGGGCCTGGTGTCACCATATTCTTACCCACTGTGAAGAGTTACTATGCTCCAGTTGTGTGAAGGACTGCTTTGTGTACAATTACAAACAAGCAAAACCAAGTCTGCTGGGTGTGGTGAAGCTCACCTTTAACCCCAGCAGAGGCAGGAGGATGCCTAGGCTCCATAGTAAGACCCTGTCTTCCCAGCAGAGGCTAGAAGATACCTAGGTTCCATAGTGAGACCTTGTCTTCCCAATGGAGGCAGGAGGGTACCTAGGCTTTATAGTGAGACCCTGTCTTCCCAGCAGAGGCAGGAGGGTACCTAGGCTCTATGGTGAGACCATGTCTCAACAAAACCAAATCAATGAACCAGGTCTCAGTGGCAGGAAGGCTCAGAAGAGACAGGAAGCCCCCACCCTGGGAAGATGGGAAGGGAAGAAATGTCCTATTTGTTTTATAAAAATGATAATGAGTTTTAAAAAATACATTTAGGTGTTTTGTCTGCATCCATGTCTATGTATCATGTGTGTGCCTGGTGCCCAAGGAGACTAGTAGAAGCCCTGAATCTCTGGTAGTGGAGTTAAAGATGGTGTGAGCCACCATGTGGGTGCTGGGAATTGAACCCGGATCCTCTTAACTTCTGAGAGATCTCTCCAGTCCCAGCATTTTAAAAAAGACTACACATGTGCCTGATGCCCACAGAGGCCAGAAGGTGGCTTCAGAGGTCCTAGAAATAGAATTATAGGCAGTTGTGAGCCACCATGCAGGTGCTGAGAACTGAACCCAAGTCCTCTGCAAGAGCAACGAGCACCCTTAACCACTGAGCCACCTCTTCAGGCACCCACCACTCCTTATTATTTATTTATTTGTTGGTGAATTTTTAATTCTCCTGCATCAGCCTGCTTAGTGCTGGGATTATAGGTGCCCTGCTAACAACTCCCTCTAACAGGCTACTAATTTTCATTCAGAAGCTTTTCTTGTGGAGTGGAATACATAGATGCATATTAAATCTGTGATGCATAATCACATGTAGGCACATGTCATACATAGATGTATATTAAAAGATACCCTGAGGGAGTTGCTGGAGAGAGGCGCAGTGCTTGGGAGTCCTTACTGCTTTCCTCAGGGACCAGTTTAGTTCCTGGTGCCCACATCAGACAGCTGACGGCTACCTGTAACTCCAGCTTCGACGGATCTGCCCATCTGTTCTGGCCTCCATGGGCACCTGCCCTCGGGAGCACATGGCTGCAATCCACAGACACAGCATTAAAAAAATACATGTTAAAAAGTATGTGTTTGGGGGTTGAGGAGATGGTTCAGTGGGGAAGTGCTCGCTGTGTCAGGATGAGGACCTCAGTTTTCAGACTTCATTTCTTATGGTCAGCGCTGACATAGAGCCAGGCATTGTGTGTGTGTGTCTGTAAGCCAGCACTGGGAGGCAGAGCCAAGAGAACCCCTGGGACTTGCTGGTTCGCAAGTCTAACCAGCTAGTGAGCTCTGGGTTGAGGAAGACACCCAACATCAGTGTCTGCCTTATACACATGAACACCACAGACACACAAAGACACACACAGACCCAGACTCATGCTCACGCGTGTGCACACACACACATACACGCAAATATATGTACTTAGTCTTGGGGATGTAACTCACAGGTAGAGCCTGTGTTTAGCAAGTTTGAGGTCCTGGTTTGATCCCAAACATCATTTTAAAAAAATTGGGGTCAGCAGTGTATCTGTGTAGCACCTACTGTTTCTAACACATGCAGACTTTTGCGGCGGATTCCCACGGCTCAACTTCAACACATGGGATGGCTACAAACTGCTTTTTTAAAATTTGTTGTTGTTTCTGAGACAGGGTCCTGCTCTCTAGTAGTAACTCACCATGCATCCTCTCAGGCTGACCCTGACTTAACAGTTCTTCCTTCTTCTGACTCCCAAGTGCTGGGGTTGTGGGCGTGAGCCGCCATACTTGGTCCAAACTGCCAGTGATATTGAGTGAAACAGATTACATTTCCCATTAAAATATATTCATGTATAAGGGAAAATCTGAATTATTTTCAATTCTGAAATGGGAAACAAAGTAACCCCCCCAAAAGACAAAACATAAACATTCATTTATGGTTTTACACTAATATATTTGGATATATATATATATATATATATATGATTATTGCTTTTGAAAATCCCTGAAGACTGGGATGCTCAGTTTTCAGTTAGGATCTTTGCCATCGTGTGTGGAGCCCATTGAGAGGCAGCTGGCTTTCTCAGGAGGGAACCCACATTTACTGAACAAACCGGCTGCTGTGTAAAACCCAAATTCCAGCACGTGGATTGATTCACAGTGAGAACTAACTCTTTCCCAGATCTTCCATCGCATGAGGAGTGCATTCTCTCCCAGTAGGCGGACTTCCTTTCCAGCTGTCGTCTACACTAGAACACAAATTTCAATCATTTTAAAAGTCTGTTTTGTTTCCAGTCTACATAGAGCTGGGGCCAAACTCAAGGCTTCATATAAGCTAGGCAAGGACTCTCCCAAGTGAGCTACAACTAAACTGTGGAGGTTTAAATGAGAAATGTCCCCAGAGGCTCCCCAGTTTGGTGGCACTCTTCGGGAGATGCTATGGAGCCTTCAGGAGACGTAGCTTTGGAGGACAAATGTCACCGCAGTCAGTCTTACCTCACTCCAATCCACTCTGCTTCATGGGTGAAGATGTGATCTCTCTGCTGCTGAGCCTCCCCTGCAGTGATGGGCTCTCCTTCCGGAACTGTAAGAGAAACAAGCTTGCTCTCCTCTGGGTTGTTTTGGTTGTGTGTTTTATTACAGCTAAGGAAACATCTAACATCCTAACCATGGCTGAAACCTCTTAAAGGTGAGCAGTGGGGATTAAAGGGTTCGGTACCATTTCAACCATTAGGAGGCTGAGGCAGGAGGATCGCTGGGAGTCAGAGGTTACTAGCCAGGGCTACATAGCGACTTTCAGGCTAACCAGGCCTACAGAGTAAGACGTTGTCTCAAAGGAAAAAAAAAATGACAAATTTTCAGGGAAGCAAACTGTGCTGCTGGCTTTTGTCTTTTTGACATAATCTCGGGTCATCTTCGAAGGGGAAGCTTCAGTTGAGACAACGCTATCTGATTAGCCTGTAGACAACCCTGTGAGAAGGTCTAGGTCACTGTGAGCACTGCCACCCCAGGGCAGGCAGTCCTGGGCTGAACAAGTTATGACAAGCAAGCCAGTAAGCTGCTCCCCTCCAAGGCCTCTGTGGTAGTTCCTGCCTTAGGGTCCCATGGTGAAGGGCTGTGATTATAATCTAAGTTAAACACACCCTTTCCTCTCTAAGGTGCTTTTGGTGCTTATCACAGCAACAGAAAGCAAACCAGGACACAGGTCAAGGCGTTTCCTCTGGCGGAGAACTAGAACTAAGTTAGAAATAAGAGAAAGGTCTCTGGAATACAACTCCAAATACCTAGAAGCTAAATAACGTGGTTTAGATAAGTAGTGGATCAAAGAAAACAGTGGAACATTAGAAATCATTTAGGGCTTAATACGCTACTTGTCCAGAAAGTTCGCCCAAGAGGTGGAGAGAGCAATGTTTGCCTTGCAGGCTATGTATCAGAACCTCTGGAACATGGGGCTGGGGAGCAGGGCAGAGTCATGGCCCCAAAGGTGCTCCCAGGGGACAGAAGTGACAGCATAGAGTGAACTGTGGCCTCAGGATGGGAGCAGAGCAGCCCTGGAGGCTAGTCAACCCTATGGGTGTTACAGATGACACAGCAATTCCAAGCCCAACTTCTGCTCTAGGTGAATGTGAGCAAACAGGTCATCTCTGTGTGCCACAGCGGTGGGCTTTGTCCAAATCCTTACCAGAGTACAGAAGCTTCTGTGGGCGGTGCATCTGGGCTGCAAGGAGCTGGTTGTAGGTAGCTTTTGGCGTCAGGACATAACATAAACGTTTGTTCCTTATTTGGGCAGGATGAGCAACCTTTACAAACTTTCCTTTGCCAGGATGAGTCTGAACACACCTATTTCTAATACCAAAATAAGTGGCAATCTTGTATACAAGTTCCGCTTTTCCAAGAGCCAGACAGTCTCTAGGGGCTTTCCGTGGGCATCTTCCTTGGTGAAAAGTGCACACGACACTCAGGAACCTGTCCCCTTTGCTCACACTTTTGTTGAAGTGTAATCAGCTGAAAGAACAGGACCTGAAGCATCCATCCCCATGACGGGACTTCAGACGGCTGAAGTGCCTGGCTCAGAGGACACCTCTGTGAACCAGTTCACTTCTGAGTGCCCTCTGACCCCGGCTGGAGAAGGCAGCAGCAGACATTCTTCAGACCCCAGCCTTAGTCTAGAGTGGGTTCACTGACTTCTAGCTCAGCACCGTCCTCCTAGCTCTCTCATCTTGTTCAGTTGCTACGGGAACCACATCTCTGTCTATTTCGTAGGACTGGCGACACCACACTGCCAGGCTGAACCAGTAGAGTGAAGGTTTATGTACCCCGGAGAACCATCAAGAATTTGGGGGTACCCTTGATGAACAATTTTCCCAGCTGTGTCCTACACGGAGGCAGGAACAAGACACTGAGGGAGTGAATGAGCCTGGCTGTGCCAAGGACCCATTGCCTTAGAACTGTGTGAAGTTGGCAGAGCCTTTCCCCTATGGGCCAGGCTTAGACTGGTAAAGCCTTCCTCAGGTCCAGTTACAAGTGTTTACCAACAATTGCCCAGTGTGAGCTAAAACTCTCCCAACAGCAGCTCCTCCTCCCAGACATTTATAGCTAGAGTGTTCACACACGACCTCTCCCCCTGGGCAATACCTAATAAACATACGGTTCCAGGTCATTGCAGTGGTTCGTGTCCACAACCCACCTGACCCAGCTTTTCTTCCTTCCTTCCTTCCTTCCTTCCTTTCTTTTTCTTTTTTGGTTTTTTTGAGATAGGGTTTCGCTGTGGTTTTGGAGCCTGTCCTGGAACTAGCTCTTGTAGACCAGGCTGGTCTCAAACTCACAGAGATCCACCTGCCTCTGCCTCCCAAGTGCTGGGATTAAAGATGTGCGCCAACACCGCCTGACTCCTTCCTTCTTTCTTTCCTTCCTTCCTTCCTTCCTTCCTTCCTTCCTTTATGTGGTTAAAAAAAATCTCTTTTGTTTTTAAAATAATCTTATTTTCCGTATCAATCCCAGTTCCCTTTCCCTCCTGTCCTCCCAGTCCCTCACCTTCTCTCCACCCCACCCCCATCCACTCCTCAGAGAGGGTGAGGCCTCCCACGGGGAGACAATAAAGTCTATCCTATCACTTGAGGCAGAGCCAAGGCCCTCCTCCGTGTGTCTAGGCTGAACAAGGTATCTCTCCATAGGAAATGGGCTCCAAAGAATCAGTTCATAAACTAGGGATAAATACTGGTTCCACTGCTGGTGGTCCCACAAACTGCCCAAGCCACACAACTGTCACCCACATTCAGAGGGCCTAGTTGCAGACCCAGCTTTTCTGTGTACATGTCTATATTTCTTCATTCCCTTGACTCCCTTACTCAGATTTCCAGACCCAAACCATTTGGTAGGACATAAGTTCAGAGCATAGCTGATCTGCACCAAAACCCTTGGGCCCCGCTAGCAATTAAGAAGTCACAGACTTTTGACGACCGTGTGACTTTGTGTGGCCATTACTGTGGGGGAATTCTTTACCTGCAATCCCTATTGGGAATATGAAGATAGGAAGATTGCATATTAAACACCTGCTTAGGGTATATAGTGAAATGTCTCATTTCTGCCCAATTCCCCTTTTATAAGTCAAAAGAAAACAAATAAACATGATGTCTTAGGTTTTCTATTGCTGCAATGAAACACCATGACCAAAAAGCAAGTTGGGGACAACAGGGTTTCTTTGACTTATACTTCCACCTTGCTGCTCATCACTGAAGAAAGTCAGGACAGGAGCCTGAGCAGGGCAGGCCTGCTCAGACTCTCATGCTGAACTAGTTTTCTCTTACAGCCCATGAGAGCCTACCTAGGGATGGTGCCAACCCTGTGGACGGGGCCTCCTGCATCAGTTAGTAATTGAGACAATACCTCATGGTCCAAAGGATCTAGACAATTCTTCAGCGGAGGTTTCTTGTCTTAGATGACTGGTGGTTTGGATAAGAATGTCTCCATGGAGCCGGGCGGTGGTGGCGCACGCCTTTAAACCCAGCACTCGGGAGGCAGAGGCAGGCAGATCTCTGTGAGTTCGAGACCAGCCTGGTCTACAAGAGCTAGTTCCGGGACAGGAACCAAAAAGCTACAGAGAAACCCTGTCTCGAAAAACCAGAAAAAAAAAAAAAAGAGTGGCTCCATGGGTTCCTACATCAAGCTGCTCAGGGAGTGGCACTATTTGAGAGGCTAGGGGGAGTTTCCCAGCTACTTTTCGATCTTGCGCTAACAAGTCTAGTATGTCCTCACTGTGCTCCCTTTCCTTCCTTTTGAAGCAGTAATGTTTATTCTGTTGGAAATGTGTGACTTGCTTTTTGATTTTTACAAGAAGGTTATTAAGAGATTGCAATGACTCTCAAAAGAGACTTTGAACTTTGGAATATTAAACAGTATTGAGACTGACAGACTATGGGGACCTTTGATGTTGGACTGAATGCATTTTTGCATTTGATGCGGCTAACAGCCTATGGGGACCAGGGAATAAAACGGGATGCTTTGAATCGGAGTGGCTCCAGAGGGCCATGAATTTGAACGCATTGGGAGTGTGGCATTCTGAAAAGATTAGGAGGAAGTGGGTCACTAGGCTTTGAGGTTTCAAAAGCCCAAGCCAGGCCCAGTGTCTCTCTTCCTGATGCCTGTGGGGGCGTGTAGAACTCTCAACTCCTCCAGTACCACGTCTGTCTGCATCTGCCATGCTGATAATGGACTGCACCACTGAACTGTAAGCCCCAGTCAATTGTTGCGGTCATGGTGTTCCCTCGGAGCAATAGAACATTGGCTAGAACTTGACAGTAGCCGGTCTTGTTAGCAAGGCTAACCATGAACCTGAGGCTGTTTTAGGTCTTTCATCACAAACACCCCCTCTAACTGCAGTTCCTCTTGGAAGCATCTGCCATTAAATACAGTCTGGGTTGTTTTTCTTTCATTGAAGAAATTGTGAGAAAAGACTTTGAAGTATAGTTTTCTAGTACTTAAAGCACACATCTTTGTAGTATGAATAATAAAAACCCAGAGACAGATATTGGGGTTAGGCCTGAAGGTCAGAAAAGCAAAGCAGCCAGCCACTGGCTCTTACCTCTACCTCAGTTCGAAATGGCAATCCTGCCTTCAGGAATCTCAGAATGAGACTGAGCCTGAGAGCTGTCTCCCCATTTTATATTCCTTTCTAGGGCTGGGATTAAAGGTGTGCACCACTACTACCTGGTTTCTATGGCAACTAGTGTGGCTACTGGAACTAAGGTGTGTGCCACTGCTGCCTGGTCTGTATGGCTGATCAGTGTGGTTGTTTTACACTCTGACCTTCAGGCAAGCTTTATTTATTAAAATACAAATAAAATATCACTACACACCTTCCAGATCTGGTGGCCTAGACCTCTAATTCCAGCACTAAGGAGGCTGAACAGAGGCCCACCTGGGCTATACAGGGAGATCCTGTCTCAAAATTAAAAAGAAAAATCATTGGATTAAGAATGCCTGGAATGCTTAATGAAAAAGTAGTTTACCAAGGCTACCAATTCAATATAAGAATTAATAAAATGGGATTTCATTGATTTTAATTAATCATCACAGGTCATTGGG